GAGCATGAGCCAGTTCAGCTGGATTCTGGATTTGGAGCCTTGCTTTGGTAGACAGATAGGAAGTTGTGATGAACCTGTTAGGTCATGAAAGCAGTTTTGCATTTGTCTAGATTCTAGAAGACTCTAGAAGGCTGTTCGGAGCTTTTGACGGACTTTAAGCTGGGGAATACCTTGTTCACATTTATTTCTGAAATATAATCTTGGCTGTATTATGGAGAGTGGTTGGAAGTGAGGCAAAGCTAGAGGCTGGGGACTTCTTAGGGACTGCATTGGTTCTGGGGAAGTGAACAGCAGTCTGAGGCAAGGTCAAGGAGGGAGGGTAGATCAGGAGGATGTCACACTTCTGCCCCCACCGCAGCCCAGTCACCTTCTTGCCCACAGACCACCTGCTTCCCTGCACAGCATCCCAGGATCAAGTCCTTGTCCTGAAAACCTGACCAAAAGGCCATCCCTCACCTAGATCACTGACACTGCCTCTGATAACCAAGTGCTTTCCACTTACTGGAAATAGCCAAACCCAGAACAAAGTAACTAAACCAGGGTCTCCCTCTTCCGTGGGCTTTGCTACAATTGTCCTAATTATTGGTACCAGCAAGGCTCCTTTCTTCCATCTCACTTCTCCCAGGTCTGAAGTAAAAGCACTAGTAAACCCATTCTAAAGGTTCAAGCTTTAAAGCAGAAGGTGTAGGAGCCCCGCCCTCGCATCTCGGTGGGACCACTACTCACTGCACTCTCAAACCTCGGAGGACAGTTTGGGCACAGGGGAGCTTGTTCTTTAGCTTTGTTTACAGGCCTGGCTTCTGGAGCCAAGGGTAGGAATGGGGAATTCCTAGCCTGATGGGCCCACACTGCCCTGCTAGATGCCCGTGCCTGGCACTCACATCGGGAGTGTTCTAGTGGGCCCTCATGTCTTCGGGCCAGAAGATGTACCTTCTCAAAAACATCTGTCTCCCGGCATCTAACATAGGCACCCAGTAGTTGCTGTTTAAAGTTCCACTAAATGAATCAAAAGAGAAGTAGGGCTGCCCTGGCTGGGGAGCTTGGTTGGAGTGTTGTCCCAATATGCCAAGCTTGTGGGTTCAATCCCCAGTCAGGGCACATAATCAACCAAGTGAATGCAGTAAGTGGAACAACAAATTGATGTTTCTCTCTCTTTTATTTCATTTTATTTATTTATTTTTATTCTCACCTGAGGACATTTTTGCATTTCAGATAGAGCAGGAGGGAGAAAGAGAGGGAGAGAGAAAGAGAGAAACATCGATGCAAGAGAGACACATCAACTGGCTGCCATCCACACTACTCCAGCTGGGGCTGGGGACAAACTGCAACCGAGGTACATGCCTTTAGCAGACACCAAACCTGGGTCTCTCTGGACCACAGGCCAACTGCTGAGCCAAACCGACCAGGGCTCTCTATTTTTTTAAATCCTCACATGAAGGTATTTTTTTCCATTTATTTTCAGACATGAAGTGAGAGGGAGGGAGGGAGGGAAAGAGAGAGAAAAACATCTATGTGAGAGGGACACATCGACTGGTTGCTTTCCGCAGGACCCTGAGCAGGGCTGGGGACCGAAATGCAACTAAGGTACATGCCCTTGACTGGAATTGAACCCGTGACTCTTTGATCACAGGTCAATGCTCTAACCGCTGTGCAAAACTGGCCAGGGCTCGCTCTCTCTCTTTACAATCAGTAAATAAAAATAAAAACAGCCCGGCCAGTGTGGCTCAGTGGTTGAGCGTCGACCCATGCACCAAGAGGTCACCAGTTCAATTCCTGATCAGGACACATGCCCAGGGTGTGGGCCCAATCCCCAGTGGGGGGCATGCAGGAGGCAGCTAATTGATGTTCTCTCTCATTGCTATTTCTCTCTCTCTCTCTCTTCCTCTCTAAAATCAATAAAGAAAAAAATAAATTAAAAAACAAGCAAAACGAAACAGATTTAAGCTGCTAATGTCACTTAAGGGGACTATATTTTTTTCAGGGAAAGGGTATTGTGTCCATATTGGGAAGTTTGTTAAATTAGGAAGATACATTTTCAGCTGTCAGTTTCCAAAATTCCTTTAAAAATCTTTTGACACCTTTTTTGCTGGTAGTAGTGGGGGTGGGGATTAGCTGGTGAGCTATGGGCCTGGAGATCTGTCCTGGGAGATGGGCCAAAACTCCCCCAAAGCTTTTGTCCAACGATGTGCCCATGCAGGTATGCAGGTGGGCCTGTGTCCCTCATACCTTCCACCCCAAATGACCTTCTCAGGCACTGTTAATAGCAATCATTTGCTTTTCCTAGCTTTACTGAAAACAAAACCTTCATTTCTGGCATCAGTTTCACAACTCGACACCATCTGACATTTTTATTTTCCAAGGAAACCTCTTTAAGATGCACTGTTTGGTCCCACTGCCCCGCTCCCTAGCCCCCGCATGTCACTTCAGATTTCACTCATGGCCCCTGCCTACCCTTCCTTAGAATTCAGCCTGGATATGATACTTTCATAGTATTTGGCATGGACTCAAAGTATAGCTTTGGTTTTATATGCATAACTAGATTGTGAGGTTCTTCAAGGCCAATATCGAGCCTGTTTCCCACGGCACTTACTGGCACTGATCCCTGAACAGCTAATTAATGATTATTGATTGGCAGGGGCCCACTCAAGCTACCATGGTGCAAGGAGGGGCTGGCAGGCAAGAGTCATTTCCATTTGCATGTTTTTATCCATAGGCTCTGCCTCTACCTTGTAGATTCTCCAGGTTTTCCCAACATCCATGGGTGATCTTGAAGAACACATTCCAGAATTCATAGAAATCACGAGGTTAGGGGTTGGCAAGGAGCCCTAGTTGAAAAAGTGATGTTTTAGTGCCAGAAAGTTACCAAGGCTATAGAGAGAACCTATCCACTTGCTCACTGGCCTTGATGTGAAACAGAAAGGTCAGGAGCTATTAACGTTTCACAGTGGAATCCAGGTTAAACAATCATAAGGCGTGTGAACACGGGCAAACCACTTGATATCACTCGAGCCAGCAGAAAAATTGAATAAAAAGCAACCTTTGGCAAGGCAGCACTGAAACAGCTTCCCCAAACACAACCTCTGCCTGCCAAAGCAAGCTTCTGCTTATTGGTGGTGGTTCAGATTCCCAGCGCAGCTCCCTGGACTAGGTTTAAGTGCAGTTGGTGTTGCCATTGGCTGCCACCTTGTGGTCTAAATTACAGCTGCCTATTAAAACTGAAGTAGGTAGCTACCAACAAAACCACCTGTGTAGTGCAGGATTGTTGGCATCTCACTAATATTGTCCATCTCCATACAAGGCTTGGCTCACAGTACCCTACAAATATAATCTCCACCCTGGCCGGTTTGGCTCAGCGGTAGAGTCTCAGCTGCAGACCAGTGAGTCCCGGGTTCGATTCCAGCCAAGGGCACGTACCTCAGTTGCAGTTCATCCCTGGCCCTGGTGGGGTCATGCAGGAAGCAGCCAGTAGATGTGTCTCTCATGTTGATGTTTCTCTCTCCCTCTCTACCTGAAGATAAATGGACAAATATCTTCTGGTGAGGATAAAAAACAAAAACAATCCCCAAGTCCCTGTACTCCTTAAGACCCACTTCTATTAGCTGCCAGTTTTGCTAGTTGGCCCAAAGCAGCTGCCTCAAAACTTAGGAAGCACATGATTATACTGCAACCATCCAGTCATGGTTTGATCTGCAAACCAAGCCAAAGCGCCCAGCAAACCTGTCTGCAGTTTATGTCCGAGCTCACTGGACTGCACCTTCAGTGCCCCCTTCTTGACACTGTGCCAGGCATATGGTGTTCGTAGTGCAGGACCACAGAAATGGTCCCATCAAAATTTTTAAAAAATTGATTTGAGAAACACCAATTTGCTGTTGCACTGATTTATGCATTCATTGGTTGATTCTTGTATGTGCCCTGACCGGGTATCTAACCCACAACCTTGGTGTATTGGAGTGACCCTTCAACCGAGCTACCTGGCCAGGGAGCCATCAAATTGTCCTCTGGCAGCTGTTACCAAAATTGCATTTGGCCAGTCCTAAGAGAACTCTCACTCAACACCCTGCTCTTCTCCATTAACTCATCGTAGTATCTCTTACAAAGGATCCAGAAAAACTGGACAGCACACCTTCCTTTTCCAAGGAGCCCCAGGACAAGAACGCCAACTGTTCACTATTTATTTTGATTATGAATTGACAAAGATCCCAGGGGTCTTTAGCTTGCTGAGCAGGGCAGTCCCTTTCAGATGCTTTTGTACATTCTCAATTGTTTCCTCCTTTGATTTTTGTAAATCCCAAGCCTTTAAGGTTGAGATTAATAAACTGCAGGCCTGAACACGATTTGGTAACAGCTGCCAGAGGACGATTTGATGGATCCCTGGCCAGGTAGCTCGGTTGAAGGGTCACTCCAATACACCAAGGTTGTGGGTTAGATTCCCAGTCAGGGCACATACAAGAATCAACCAATGAATGCATAAATCAGTGCAACAGCAAATTGGTGTTTCTCAAATCAATTTTTTAAAAATTTTGATGGGACCATTTCTGTGGTCCTGCACTACAAACACCACATGCCTGTAGTTTCTTTCCTACAAGTTAGTCTGTGAAAAGACTTTAGAACAGTATTCCCGTTTTTTTCTTATATCCCACCTCCCCAGCATTTCTCAGATATTTCCAAATAGGCAGACTCTCAGTTCCAAGAACAACAAAAGAGCAACTTTCCCACCACACAGCGCCGAGTCAGCATGGTTGGTCTGGTGAAGATGCTCGGCTTTCCAATCGCCTCCCAGAACGGTGACCACACTGGGCATGATTCTGCAGGGAGGTGTCTGCTGGAGCAAAGGAAGCCCAAGTCAAAGCCAAGTACCGCAGCTCCACAGCAACAAGTGATGTCACCTTGGATAAGACAAGACAACTCCCGAAACCAACCCTGTCCTGCCCCACTGACATTCTGACCCTGAGCCCATTCCTGTTCAAGCTCCACAATGTAAACAAAACGGGCACACAACATTATTTCTGATTGCAAGTTTATTCAACACAAAATAATCCCTCCAACTTTACTGAGGTGGTTGACCACGTCCACGACCAAATCCGCCTCTCTGCAAGAGAAAGCACATGACATCAGCATTAGTAAGCCAGGAAACAGCAGGCCTGAAATCCTAGGCTTGCTTTACTGTCTATACGGTCACATTCACCTTTCAGGCCTGTTTCCACATTTGTAAGATGGGAATAGGGATACTCACTTGAGTGTGCTCACATATGCAAACATGGGAGCACCTAGCACAGGACAAGATCTTGTCTGCCATACATATCTCTTTTTCACTGTGCTGTGGAGACCTGCCACAGGACAGCTGCTGTCCCAGAAGGGATAGCTCAGCCCCACACAAGCATTTGACGTGGATTAACTAATCTCGTAATTATTTTGAGACAGCTATAATCACCACCTCTATTTTATAAGTTAGGAAACTGAAGCACAGATCACACCATCTAAAGAAAGATAGAGGATCCCATCCCACTCTATCTTGGTTCTAGAGCCCACTCAATCTTCAGTGATAGATTCTCAATCTAAGTTTTGGTCCATGAAACTAATTAAAGGGCTTACGATCATTATTAAAGAAACAGAAAAGACCACTATGCTACATGTAGTATTCATTTGTGAGACTCATTTCAGCAATTTATATATTAACAACAGTTTCCATACTGTCTTAAAGTAAAAAACTCACTTGGAGTTTGTGGTGGTCGTGAGGATGAGGGGTGGGACCCACCACACTATACTATACCCCTACAACTTGCAGACCCACAGGGCTGAGGCCAGAACAGTGACTGCTCATGGAGAGCAAACAGGGAAGTGAATACTCACAAACTGGAATTCAGTTGCTGACCCAGCCCCAGCCTCAGCTTTCTTGTCGGCACCAGCTGAATGAGAAACACCAGTTTAGATTAATCACACGGTTTGACCTATGGCAGGCAAGTCACCCAACCCAACCTTGTGGGGAAAGCCATGTCAGCAGACCCTGAAGTAAATTACACTCCTGAGCCACCTTTGCCTCCTCCTTCTCCTAGGGCAGCCTTCCTTAAGTCATCCTTCAAAACTCACAGACCAAACTATTGCCTCCATCAGGAAGGTTGCCCTGATTGTCACACTTTTCATCAATCAATCACCTACATGCTTCAGATTAGCACCTAGCTTACAAGGTGCTCAATGAAGAAAGAACCAAAAGGTAAAGGACACAAGGCGCAGAGAAGCAAAAAAAACAACTTTTTAGTGACCATGGGAAAGAAGCAAGAGCCTGTGCTACTCTGTCCTGTCCAGCAGCCTCTAGTCCAGTGGTTCTCAACCTGTGGGTCGCGACCCCTTTGGGGGTCGAATGACCCTTTCACAGGGGTCGCCTAAGACTTAACAGTAGCAAAATTACAGTTATGAAGTAGCAACAAAAATAATTTTATGGTTGGGGGTCACCACAACATGAGGAAATGTATTAAAGAGTCGCAGCATTAGGAGGGTTGAGAACCACCACTCTAGTACAAAGGTGCACAAAACGAATTAGATTTCAAGACTTAAGAGATTGCAAGATTAAAAAAAAGAGAGAGAATGCAAAATATCTCATTAATGTTTATACGGGCTAAAAAATTAACATTCATGTGAACTATTTCCGCTTGCTTTAAGTGTGGCCACTAGGAAATTTTATGGTTCACATTGTAGGGGATAGTGTGGCAGGGTCAATAGCGAGTGTGGGTCAGTCTTCAAATCAGGGTCTCCCTTTGGCCTATTTCAGACCACATCCATCATAGGCTCCCGTCTATTCACTCCCTGCCCCTTTGACCAGTAAGCCAGTGTCTTCCTCATCTCCATACCTTTGTTCATGCTGATCTCCTGCCTGAAATGCTCACTCCCCCTAAACTTGAGTACCCCCGAGGCTGAGGCCCAACGGTCACACCCCCTGTAAAGCCATTCCATGACTGATTCCCCACGCGTTGTTGACTTCTAATAAGAGCAACCACTAACTTTCTCTAAACAGAGCATGTTTGCTGAAGGAATTCATCACTGCTACCCTGTAAGGTACTCAGTCAGGTGCTCATTTCTATTTTACATACCGAGAACCAGGAACCATGACAAGAGGGAAGCAAGAGTGAACAAAGTCAGTAAAAATTCCCATTTATACCTTGCTTTTATAACACAATTTTCTGTTTCTGCAACAAAGACAGAGTGACGCTTTAAAAACAAATTGAGAGCCCTGGCTGGTTTGGCTCAGCAGTTGGAGCATGGCCTGTGGACCAGAGTCCCGGGTTCGGTTCCCGCTAGGGGAACATACCAAAAAAATAAATAGGTAAAAACAAATTGAATCCTATCACTCCTGTTAACACCAATGGCTCCTCATCCTACCCAAGAGCAAAACCTCAAGTCCTCCCTTGACCCACACAGCTGAGACCTATATCCTTATCAAATTCTCCAACTGTCTTCTGTTGTTTAGACAAGCCAGGTGCCTTCCCCAGAGGATCTTTACCTGAAATGCCCTTTCCCCAGATAGCCACTGGCTGGCTCCCCTTCACTTCCTTTAGGTGTTTACTTAAATCTCACTTCTGCATGACTTTCCTTGAAAACCCTAGAGAAAATTACAACCACCCCCATGCTTTAATGTTCCCCATGTAGCACCCACACCTCACACCATTGGACATATTACATTACTTATTTTTTCTTGTCTCCTACGACTAAAATGCAAGTTCAATGAGAGAAGGGCCTTTTGTCTATGTACATTACTTCTCCCCAGCTCCAAGGACAGTGCCCAGCACAACAGGCACTCAATATACATTTGATGAACAAACAAACATCTGTTGTTCCAAGTCAATGTGAACATTTGCTATTTAAAACAAGATCCTATGCTATTTTTGCAATAAAAAAACAACAAAGGTAATTTGAGTGGACTCTATCCTTAAGGAGCTTGCAACACAGGAACATAACCACAAAACAAAACCATGTTGCTTTCCTGAAAGTTTCCAGTTTTGCTCTAAAGGTCTTCAACTAAAGCCTGTCCCCAGCTCAGAGGGTGTTCCTCCCAACCCCCATCCATCAAACCCCTGCATAAGGCAACAAGCACAAAGGACTCCAGCTGGAGACTAAAGAATGAAACCAAGGATCTTTCCGGTCACTCGGCATCTTCATGGGCTGAGCCCCAGCGAGGCTGACCGAGAATCGAGATTGTACCCCACATTAATGACGCATCACTCACGGGGCACAGCACTCCGCCTGTAGGTGTCTCTGTCAGCTTCCCCTCGTGTGAGTCTTGCAGGTCGTTCGCCCTCCAGACCTACACAAAGTAAACCACACTGTGAACATAGGGCAGCGTGGGAACTCTGTTCCCTTCAGAAGAAAACTGGAATTGTTTTCCTAGTCTCCCTGGAAAACTTTGTTATTGTAACAGGTTAAAGAGAACAGGAACTCCTACACCTAGAACTGCCAGCTAGAAAACTTGTCATCACTGACATTTTGGCTCCTCGAAGCCCTGAGAAAACTCACATCTTAATTAAAATGCCACACATCTACAAAAGGACTGCTTTCTTCCACTGTATTTCTCAATATAAACACATTTCCCAATTACTTGGCTAATTCAGAAATTCAGCTATTTCTATAAACATTTTAATAGCTAAAATGTTGAATTTGATCCATCTCTCAGGTGGAAACTTCCTGTACAAAGGAGACATCAGAGATGAAAGCCCCACCTCCAATAGTAAGTATATAAATGTAAAGGCCACCAAAAATCCTTCAGTCTTCCCTGGGCTTCTCCACATACCTACTTCAGGTTGTGGATACGTTAAGATAGATTTTAAGCGGTACCTTAAAAATATTCTCAAAAACACTGAAAGTTTAATCTAGTATTCTCTCTACCCAGTTACCTTGGACCTTACCTGAGGTCCATATGGCTAAATACAAACCTTTCTTTTTTTTTAACGTAAGAGATAAAATTGAACCTGAAGTGGTTAAAATAAATAAATACCAGGCCCCACACAGGCCTTCTAAACCAAGAGCCTGTGGGCACAGACAGACAATGGCATTCCCAATCCCCACCCTCCACAAGTGATTCCTAGATGCAGTGAACTTTTTGCTCTAGAGATGTATAACCCTATTTAACCACCAGAAGCCCCTAGGGAGCATTCATAAAAAGTAAATTCTTGCCCTGGCCAGTTTGGCTCAGCGGTTAGAGCGTCGGCCTGCGGTCCTGAGAGACCTGGGTTCGGTTCGCGCCAAGGGTGCATACCTCGGTTGCAGTTTGTCCCCGGCCCTGGTCGGTTGTGCGGGTGGCAGCCACTCGATGTGTTCCTTTCACATCGATGTTTCAGTCTCTCTCTCTCTCTCCCTCCCACTCTACCTGAACAAAAAATGGAAAAATGTCCTTGGGTGAGGATAAAAAAAAAAAAAAAAAGGTAAATTCTTGAGCCCAGCTGGTATGACTCAGTGGATTGAGCATCATTCTATGGACTAAGAGGTCCTGGTTTAATTCCCAGACAGGGCACATGCCCGGGGCTGTGAGCTCGATCTGTTAGGGGTGTGTGCAGGAGGCAACTGATAGATGTTTCTACCCCACCCCCCATAAAAAAAAAAAAAAAAAAATAGCCCTGGCCGGTTTGGCTCAGCGGTTGGAGTGTTGGCCTGCGGACCAGAGTCCTGGGTTCGGTTCCCGCTAGGGGCACGTACAACAAAAAAATCAATAAAAATAATTGTAAAAAAAAAAAAAAAAAAGACTCTTGAGCTCCATGAAGTCTCTCTCCAGGGAAACCTGTCCAGTCTAATGATCATCTGTGTATAGGAATCTCTGCATCTCATCACAAACTGCTACACCTACAAAGGTTCTTGTGACAAGCCTTTTCAGAACCTAAGGTAGAAGAAACCACAACCAGGACAAAACCACAACTCTGAGCTAGCAGATAACGTGTCCCTCGACTCCCAATATCTACACAGCAACATATCCTTTCACACTGTGATTTTCCTGAAAAAGTTACTCAGTGTTCTACCACATGTGTCTGGCCATAGACTAATGGTATTCTGTGTTTAATGCCATCTCCTGGGATAACCTGAAGGCCCGAGTCCAATTCCATTGAAAGTCCCATGCTAGAGGACAGAGTTTCCAGGACTTGACCCAAGGCTCTGTATGCCAGAGTCCCTCTAACAGCTGACACCAATAGTGTAGTGTAAGACCACTTTCATCTCACATACAAACACCCACCGTTTCACATATACTGGCTCCCAGAAAGAGCAGGCATAACAGGCCTTTGGAGGCATATATTTGGGCACCATACCTTTGGGCCTGGGCCTGCCAGTCTCAGGCCGGCTGCGGCGCAAAGTGGCAGGCACGATCTCAGGGGGCAGGTGGAGGTAATCTCGGAGATACTGGATGCCCTCGTTGGTAAGGTACCAGTAGAAGTGTCTCCAGGCAAACTGTTCCTTCACGTAGCCTCGGGATTTGAGAGACTGTAAGACAAAAAACTACTGTTGAGACACAACTAGAGGCTTGAAACTAGAAATGAGGCGCAAAGGGAAGCTAGACTGCATAGTGGACAGTTTCAGGATGTATCTACCTCACAGCCCTTCAAGGCAGCGGAACCCCTCCATCTGCACCCCACTCCAGCAGCGCCCGGCTACCTGCATGGCCTTCATGACGTGAAGATTAGGCACATTCTTGTCTGCCAGCTCGGGGTGTTTAGGCATGTGCACGTCCTTCTTAGCCACCATCACCCCCTCCTTAAAAAGGAGTTCATAAATGGCAATCCGGTTCTTCTTGGGCATCAACATCTGTGGGAAGAAAGTGATCACCAAGAGCACTTTTAAGCAATGTGGCGGGGCTTCAGGAACCGAGTCAAGACCCCCAAATAGCCACAGAAGTCACTGTCCAATAGGTTAAAACCTCAAACACAAAAACACGCAGAACACACGCAGGAAGGAGAAATCCAAGCTCCGTAGACTGAAACCCACCAGTTACCAACTCCCACCTCCAGCCCCGAAAACGCTTCAGGTGAGAAAAAAGTTGCCAAGGCATTAAGACAATACGGGGGTACCTATTCCCTTCAAACTTCCCCCCTCACAACCACAAAGGAATAACGGGGGCGCAGACTGAGCTCCATGAGCATGTGGGAACCACCGTACCAAGGTGCGGAACGGCGCGGCTCCATTCAGGTACGCATGGGACAGAGACGTTTTCTCTTCGTGACAGGCCGCTGACCCCAGACCAAGGGGCTAAGGCCTTCGCATCCTCCTCTCCCACCACTCTTCCCCCAAACTAGGGTCCCAGGGCCAAGCAAGGAAGCAACCGGGGGCGAGGAACTTCTTCCCCGAAGGAGAAACGTGCACGCGGGGTTCGGTACCCCTAGCCTCGCCCACAGACCGCGCCACGCAAAGGCTTCATTCTCCCCTCCTCGGCCCTCCGCCATCGAGACGCCAATCTCCGCAAACAGAGCCCCGCAACTCCCCAGAGTGCACCCCTAGCCTCTCACCGCTCAGAAATGGGCTTGCGGGCAGCGGGAGAGGGGCCCCCCGCCCCGACCCCGGGGAAGCACAGCGCCGACAGCCGCGAGAGGGCCAGGATGGAGGCCGATGGAACCCATACTCCTCAGGAACTCACCGCGACGGCTGCTGCGTCCGAGGCCGGAGCTGGAAAGGAAGGGGCATGCGCGGCGCGGCGCGGCGTCTCTTCCGGGCTGACGTGCCCCGCCCCCCGTCAGGACCCGCGCACTGCCTGGGTGGCCTCGGCTGTGCCTGAGAGACTGGCGGCTCGGGGCAGCCGCAAACCCTTGACCGCCTTATGGACGTTGGCACGTGGGAACCGCCGCCAAGAGCTGCTGAGACGGCGTGCTTCGTTAGTAAACGGTCACTTTCATGCTTGGGCAGACCCTTTAGAAACACGCTACTTCTCAATTCCCAGCAATAATTTAACTTAATATTGTGCAAGTAATACATGCACTTTGAGCGGGGAAAAGAGGGAACATACAAAGTAATAACAACAATAACAATAAAAGATTAAAAACACTATTAACATTTTGGTATATATTTTTCTAAACTCATATATGTAACCACTCTATGATGATTGGACATAAATTAAATCTTTCACTGCTATAAGTAACAACGCCACACACATCTGCACCTTTGCCCAATATTTTACTTAGGATAAATTCTTGGAAGTGTAGTTGTTGTAACAAAGTACACACGAATCTCATTGCTCTTTTTTGTTTGTTTGTTTCTTTTATCCCCACCCGAGGATATCTTTCCACAGATTTTTTTTAGAGTGAAAGGGAAAGAGGGAGGGAGAAAGAGATTGATTGGTTGCCTCCCAGAGGGTCGAACCTGCAAACCAGGTACATGTCCTTGACCAGGAATTGAACCAGAGACCCTTTGGTATGCGGTCCTGAGGGCTCCATGCTCTAATCACTGAGCCAAACTGGCCAGGGCTCATTGCTCTTTTAATTTGCTTTTCTTGGTTACTTCTGTGATTAAACATTTTTTCTTTTTATTTAAATTTTTGATTTCCATTACCTGTTTTTTCACTAATAATTTTTCTTATTGATTTGAATTTACTCTTTACGTATTAAAGTTATTAGCCCTTTGTCACATGTTTTTCAAGAATTTCCCTCAGTTTTTCATTTGTCTTGATTTTTGTGGTATTTTGAAGTTTTACATTTCTTTATATCTAAATCTTTATGGTTTCAGACTTTGGTACAAACGCTTAAAAAGTCACTCCACACTTCATGATTATATAAATAACCACCTATAGTTTTTTTTGTTTGTTTACTTGTTTTTAAAATCCTCACCCGAGGATATTTTTTCATTTATCTTCAGACAGAGTGGGAAGGGGAGAGAGAGAGAGAAACATTGATTTGAGAGAGACAGATCAATTGGTTGCCTCCCGCAGGACCAGGGACTGAACCACCACAGAGTTACATGCCTTTGACCAGATTCTTTCATCAGCGGGCCAATGCTCTAATCGTTGAGCCAAATTGGCCAGGGCTCCACCTATAGTTCTTTTAATTTTATTATTTTATTTTTTTATCCTCACCCAGGGACATTTTTTTATTTTTTGTTCAGATAGAGTGGGAGGGAGAGCGAGGAAGAGAGAGAGAGAGAGAAACATCGACATGAAAGGGACACATCGAGTGGCTGCCACCCGCACAACCCAACCAGGGCCGGGGACAAACTGCAACCGAGGTACATGCCCTTAGCGGGAACCGAACCCAAGTCTCTCGGGATCGCAGGCCAACGCTCTAACCACTGAGCAAACCGGCCAGAGCTATTTTTATTTTTTTAATCCTCACCCAAAGATACAGTTTTTATTGATTTTTTTTCTCATCCAAGAACATTTTTCCATTTTTTGTTCAGATAGAGTGGGAGGGAGAGAGAGGAAGAGAGAGAGAGAGAGAGAAACATCGATGTGAAAAGGACACATCGAGTGGCTGCCTCCTGCACAACCCAACCAGGGCCGGGGACAAACTGCAATCGAGGTACGCGCCCTTAGTGGGAACCAAACCCGGGTCTCTCTGGACCACAGGCCGACGCTCTAACCGCTGAGCCAAACCAGCCAGGGCGATTTTTTTTTTTAGGGAGGAAGAAAGAGCAAGAGCCAGAGAGAGAAGAAAAACATTGACATGAGAGAGATACATCGACATGAGAGAAACATCAGTTGGTTCCCTTTTGTAAGCTCCCTGGGGATCGAATCTTCAACATTTTGGTGTACTAGACGACACTCCAACAAACTGAGCCACCTGTGCACTTATGATTTTTTCAAATACTTTGTGGTTTTAGTGTTAAAAAATAAGTATTCATTAATTTTGTAAGATAGAAAGAGTTCTGGAGGTCGGTTGCACAGCTATGTGAATTACTTAACCCTACTGACCTGCACACTTAGAAATGGTTAAGATAGGCCTAGCAGACGCTGCTGCCTGAAGCCCCCGATCCCAGCCATGGTGAACCCACTGTGTTCTTCGACATCGCTGTCGACAGCAAGCCTTCGGGCTGCATCTCCTTCAAGCTGTTTGCAGACAAAGTTCCAAAGACAGCCGAAAACTTGCGTGCTCCAAGCACTGGGGAGAAAGGATTTGGTTATAAAGGTCCCTGCTTTCACAGAATTATCCTGGGATTTATGTGCCAGGGTGGTGACTTCACACACCATAATGACACAGGTGGCAAGTCCATCTATGGAGAGGAATTTGATGAGAATTTCACCCTGAAGCACATGGGTCCTGGCATCTTGTCCACGGCAAGTGCTGGACCCAACACAAACGGTTCCGTTTTTCATCTGCACTGCCAAGACCGAGTGGTTGGATGGCAAGCAGGTGGCCTTCAGCTGGAAAGAGGGTACAGATATGTCACAGCCATGGAGAGCTTTGGGTCCAGGAAGGACAAGACCAGCAAGAAGATCACCATTGCTGACTGTGGACCACTCTAATAAATCTGATTGTGTTTAATCTTAACTACCGGACCGTTCCTTCTATAGCTCAGGAGAGCACCCCTTCACCCCCATCTGCTTGGAATGTTCTATGATATCCATGCTCTTGCCGCAGTTCATTGAGTTTCCTATTTTCCTTACCCCTTCCATGTCTAGCTGGACTGCAGAGTTAAGTTTATGACTATGAAATAAAAACTAAACAAAAAATGATAAAGATAGTAAGTTTTATGTTACGTATATTTTACTACAATTTAAAAAAATAGATTCAGCCCAGCCGGTGTGGCTCAGTGGATTGAGCATCATCCCCTGGACTGAGAGGTCCCTGTTCCTTTCCTGGTCAGGGCATACGCCTGGGCTGCGGGCTTGATCCCCAGTAGAGGGCATGCAGGAGGCAGCCGATCAATGTTTCTTTCTCACATGGATGTTTCTATCTCTCTCCCTTCCTCTCTCTAAAAAAATCAATAAAAACATATCTATTTTTAAAGCATTCATAACATATTTACAGAATTCTAATAAAGAAGATTGAGCATATGGACAAGGAACAACATAGTCTAAGGACTAATCAAGCAGATTTGAAAAAATATAGTAAAACTTCTAGAAGTGAAAACTGAATTGAAGGGTTTTTTTTTTTTTTGGTACGTGCCCTTAGCGGGAACCGAACCCAGGACTCTCTGGTCCACAGGCCGATGTTCCAACTGCTGAGCCAAACCGGCCAGGGCTGAACTGAAGTTTTTGAAAGAATAAACAATAGATTTGACACATTTAAGAGAAAAATCAGTGAAATAGGTGATATAAGCTTAAAAAACATATTCACAATGCAGTCCAGAGATTAAAAGAGAGGGAATGTTTGAAAGAAAGGATAAGAGCCCTGGCTGGTTTGGCTTAGTGGTAGAGGGTCAGCCTGCGGACTAATGAGTTGCGGGTTCGATTCTGGCCAAGGGCATGTAGTTTGGTTGTGGTTCGTCCCCAACCCTGGTTGGGGTCGTGCAGGAGGCAACAGGTCGATGTGTCTCTCTCATATCGATGTTTCTCTCTCTCCCCCTCCCATTCTATCTGAAGATAAATAAAAAAATATCCTCAGGTGAGGATTAAAACAAAAAAATGAAAGAAAGGATAAGAGGTATGAAGAACAGAGTGAGAAAGTCTAATGTATGTCTAGGCGGAGTCTCCAAAGGAAGTAATAAGAGAAGGTAGGAAAGAGACACTGTCAGAATATTTCCCAAAATTATTAGAAGACAACACACTTCAGATTCATTGCTCTCATCAAATCCCAAGTTGCAGAAAATCAAAGACAAAGAGATCTTAAAAGCAGCCAGCAGGCAACGACAGGTGTGACTGCTCACTTCCCAGCAGCAACACTGGGATACAGTCGCTGAGTCTTCCCTTTCAGGGGCTACAGTGATCCTGCTACGTCAGACCATGTCATTCTCGGCCTTGAAATCCTCCAGTGGTTCCTCAGTTCACTTACAAAAATATTCAAAGTCTTTATATGACTTAATTTTTGGTTTAAATTTTTGATTCTCCCAGAATGTTTTCTGATGTAACAATTTTTCCTCTGCCTGGCTGGCTCGGCTCAGTTGCTTGGGTGTTGATCCATGCACCAAAGGTTGCAGGTTCGGTTCCCCAAGAGGGCACACGCCCAGGCTGTGGGCTCAGTCCCTGCAGGGGGTGTGCAGGAGGCAGCCATTTGATGTTCTACTCTCACACTCATGTTTCTCTTTCTATCCCTCTGCTTTCCTCTCTCTCTAAAAATAGAAAAATAAAAAATACTAAAAATAATGTTTCCCTATAAAGGGTTAGCTGGTGTCTCAACATCATTTCCTCAATAAGTTATGCTTCTATTTATCTAAAATACCACTAAATGGTTTATGAGAGAGGAATTCAGTTTTAGATTTTGTTGTATTTGTGCTTATGATAAACACTGGTGAAAATACCCAGGATAATTTTAGACAAAAAACTCAGAATTTGCCCTGGCCGGTTTGGCTCAGCGGTTAGAGCGTCCACCTGCGGTCCTGAGAGACCCGGGTTCGGTTCCCGCTAAGGGCATGTACCTCGGTTGCAGTTTGTCCCCGGCCCCGGTTGGTCGTGCAGGTGGCAGCCACTCAATGTGTCCCTTTCACATCGATGTTTCTCTCTCGCTCTCTCTCTCTCTCTCTCTCTCTCTCTCTCGGTTCCTCTCTCTCCCTCCCACTCTACCTGAACAAAAAATGAAAAAATGTCCTCAGGTGAGGATAAAAAAAACAAAAACAAACTCAGAATTTTGCCCTGGAC